AAACTTAACATTGTTGTGTGTGAAGGAGGTTGAATGTTAGCTGATCAAACTTAACATTGTTGTGTGTGAAGGAGGTTGAATGTTAGGAAAACCTACAAAGAAAATATATAAATTGAAATTGGCTGATTCCATAAGTATTCAGCCCCCTAAGTTAGTACTTGGTGGAAGCACCATTGGCAGCAATTACTTCCATGAGTCTTGTTTGGATAGGTCTCTACCAGCTTTGCACAATGGGATGATGTCATTTTTGCCCATTCTTTCTCACAAAATTGCTCCAATTCTGACAAGTTTGTTGGGGATCGTTGATGGACTGCAATCTTCAAGTCTCGCCATAAATTTTCCATTGGATTCAAGTCAGGACTTAGACTTGGCCACTCCAGGACATTCATTTTCTTCTTTTGAAACCACTCCAGTGTGGCATTGGCCTTGTGCTTCGGGTAAGTTTTATATTATTGGCCGACTCAAGCAGGTTTTCCTCTAGGATTTGCCTGTTCTTTGCACCATCCGTCTTCCCCTCAATCCTGACAAGTTTCCCAGTCCCTGTTGATGAGAAGCATCCCCATAACATGATGCTGCCATCACCATGCTCGACAGTTGGAATGGTGTTGAGTGGGTGGTATGCTGAGTTGGGCTTGTACCAGACGTGACGCTTTGAATTTAGACCAAAAAAGCTCAATTTTTGTCTCGTCTGACCACAAAACCTCCTGCCACATGTCTGCAGTATCATTTACATGCTTTATCGCAAACTTCATACTGGATTTAAGATGAGTCTTTTTCAGTAATGGCTTCTTTCTTGCTTCTCGCTCATACAGGCCAGCTTTGTGTAGAGCCTGGGATATTGTCGATATATGAACACTGACTCCCATCTCAGACATGGAAATTTGCATATCTTTCAAAGTCACCGTTGGCTTCACAGTGGCATCCCTAATCATTTCCTGCTTGCCCGGCTGCTTAGTTTGGAAGGGCAGCCTGATCTGGGTGGTGGCTTCTTAATGGTGGACTTTACCATACCCAAGGAGATAATCAGCGACTTTTAAATTTACTTCTAATGTTCTCCTGATCTGTACTTCTCTACCGTTTTATCCCCGACTTCTTTGTTAAGTTCCTTGGTCTTCATGGTTAGTTTGTCATACCACTATGTGAGTTGTGGCTTGAACAGATGCATTTACTCTGAAGTCAAGTTAAATGACTTTGATTACACACAGACAGAGACCATTACACTAATTTGTGACCTTCCAAACTAATCTTTTGCACCTGAACTAACTTAGGGTTGCCGTAGCAAAGGGGTTGAATACTTATGCAATTGAGAATATTCTAATTTTCTTTGAACATCTAACTTACTTACATAATATCAACGTTTATAGCTTTCTAAGTTTGGAGTAGATTGTGTAGATTCTAAATATAAAGTTACACTTGAAAGTTTCATGATTCTAAACTCAGACAACAACAAAATGTGGAAAATTTGGAAGGAGATGAATACTTTTGCAAGGCACTGTAATACTGTAATAACACGTTTCTAATTACAGAACAGTCGTGATGATAATGCTGTAATAACACGTTTCTAACTACAGAACAGTCGTGAAGATAATACTGTAATAACACGTTTCTAATTACAGAACAGTCGTGAAGATAATACTGTAATAACACGTTTCTAATTACAGAACAGTCGTGAAGATAATACTACATTATTTGGGTGTATTATGTTTGTTAAGAGCTATTATAATGATTTAAGCTTCTTGACCAAAAAACTGTAATAACACATGATGTGTCAGATATCGTTAAATCTTGGCTCGTTTATTATATAAACACTCCCAGAAATATTATTCTATAAACGATTGGATTTAATGTGTTGCAATTGCACTATAAGCCCTAATATCAGTTTTTATGGTTACCTTCGAAATATCTGTTACTCTAGCATAAAGGCCGTCAACAAAGGTCGAAAGAGGGCGCGTTGGTATGGTAGGAATAGCTTCAGAATCAGGTACAGGAGAAGCACACGAACTGCTAAGCGGACGTCTTATAGGACTACGCCTGCCACCAGTGTTATCAGACGCTACCTGGTGACGACTAGGAATCGTTTTATTTCCAGAAGACTCGTCACTAGATGGCAGTGGTGTAGAGATGTCGGAGCTTAAGCGCCTACGTTCAGAAGAACTGATGAAATAAAAACAGCAGTGAAAAAAGCACCAACGCAAAGAACAGCTTGAATCCTAGAAAAATCTATGTATTAGCTATTAAAAAAATATACATTAAAAACAAGCAAAGCCTTAAAACGGATTTACAAAAAATAAAACAGAAGGGATAAATAGCGTTACATTCAATATATGAAGGAAAAAAACAACACAACACTATTTGTTGTTTGAACAACTACTGAATCTAAACTTGGTAATCACAGCAGTTTATATACTAATGGCAACGTTCTAGTACTTCCCTTAATAACAACGGTGACAGACTACGATATTAACAACAGTGGGTTAGGGGTAGGAATAGCTTTCCAAACATTTCTTTATTAACAACAGTATATTAGTGTATCAATATGTTTTTTATTAACAACAGTAGGTTAGGGTAGGAATATCTTCCCAAATATTTCTTTTATTAACAACAGTATATTAGTGTATCAA